ACAGGGTGTATCAAAAAAAGTAAGACAATTTTGAAATTGCTCTCAATTCCACAATTCTGTTCATGAAATGTAATTTTTGCTATATATGGATTGCTTGAGTTCTTAAATTATGGAAAACATAAAAAATTTTGAAAATAGTAAATTTTGCTATCCAGGTGGGTGGTCAACTTTTGCTCTCCTAAAAGTGGCTTGCGCACGGAAATGACAAACGATATTCTTTACTTGAGTTCATGTATGAAAAGTTCGCTATTTGTTGCATTTATGATAAAATTTCGGCAGGATTTTACCGAGTACAAATCCTCCGAGAAGCCTATGAAAACGTTACATTTTTCTCCGTTGGTGCTGTTCTTGCTTCATTATGAATTCATTTTTACTCCCATGAGAGTTCCATGGAATTTCCATGGAATTTGTGCTTTCGAGTTGTTTGTGCTGAAACGCATTTTCTCGTATAATACCCCGTACACTTTGAAATGGCGATGCCACAATTTACCCCGCAGCAGAGAGCTTTTATTGTATCAGAGTTCCTCCGTAGCAACAACATAAACTTGGTTCGCCAAAGTTTCACGAAAGAATATCCAGATGTACGATGCCCTTCCATGTGCCCTTCACGTACGAATACGAATTTAATCCATACATATAAAAAATTACATTTCATGAACAGAATTGTGGAATTGAGAGCAATTTCAAAATTGTCTTACTTTTTTTGATACACCCTGTATATATATATATATATATATATATATATATTAACAGACATCTCAACAGCACCCCTTATATTTTGCGAGGTATCTGCTAATGGTTGTTGGCATTTGTGATTTAATATGCTGTTGGCTCGTTCCAGAAAACATTGAATAGATTCATAAGATTATATGATTTAACCTTAGTTATATTGGAGAGGAGTGCTACTTGTTTCAGTAACCCACTGAGTGATATCACTGACAATAAAATCATCTGACATTGGGTCATTCCAGCGAACATCGATACCTACATGCAACCTCCCCCATGAAGGAAATTGGAAGTTAACCCCCTATCCCCTTCGAAATTCAAATGTTCTTATACACTTCAGAAACAATTTTTTCTCCCCTCGCCTCCCCTCCGGACGGTTGAAATTTCCTCTGTGCCCAGCGGAGAGAGGATCTTTTCTGGAACGACCCATCAGACACAGTAAAAGAATAAAGTTAATTGTGGCACAATGCAGCTTATGCCATGTCCGGCCTAGTATAATATCCAGTTAACTCCCCATCTTAATGACCTGCCAAACTTCTTGAGAAGTACAGGGTATTCCTGTTTTGTTGGGTTAATATGGCCATGTGTCGAGTGAACCCATTAAGTTGTATTGTACCCTAAAATCCTTGTGTGTCCTACTTCCTTATTTTACTGTCTTTTAAATGCCAGATTATTGTACTCTGTCTAATGCCAGACCATTTTACTCTCAAGGCTAAGTAAATCATCAAGTATGCTGGTGTATACTCTTGTAATTAATAGTTATTTATAAGTTAATTCAATCTAGCTTTGGATGCACATGTAAAAAGAATACTAGTTTTATGCCGTTGTAAGCTTAGACTGTTTTTATAAAGTCTGCAAATGTTCCGAGTATTGCCAGGCTAGCATTCCAAAGGTTGTAGGTTCGATTCCCACTGTGGTCAGGCATATTTTTCAAGCTTGCAGGGTGTGGATATACACTCAGAGTAACATCATAAGCATCATAATGTAGCCACTTTGTAATTATTATGATCTCGCCGGCATGACCCAGCTTGCAATATGAACTGTATAAACTGTTTAGTGAATTATAATACTTCTATCTGGCCTAGACAGGATCCCACCTGCCAGGACAAGAAACTCTCATGAATATAAGCACTCTATCATTCCTGCCAGGTGGGGTGTATTGTGTCTATATTAAACACACCATCGTGGATTATAACCTACTGTCCATTCGTGCCATTATTATATAAAAAGGCACATATATACAGGGTATACTCTAGAAGGGTTTAGCTTGGAAGATCCTTCAAGCTCAAGCTAGCAAAAGTTTATACTTTTTTACCATATTGTGGGAAACACTAACCATTTAGTCGTCATGTGCCTTGATGCATTCAATAGTCTTGTTTATACTACCAGCCTTGGCCTAGCCTTGGCCAACATTTTGACAGTGTAAACAGACTTTGGCCTAGCCTTGTCCTGAGCTAGGCCAGGAAATCTGGGCTCACTACAACCGACTTGGCCTAAGCCCAGGCTTGTGGAAATGGCCTAGCCTTGACCTGACCTAGGCCAGGAAATCTGGGCTCACTACAACAGACCTGGCCTAAGCTTGTGTAAATGTAAACACTTTTGGCCCTGGCCGGGGCTTTATTTTTATAGCAATGTGTGTCCACAGTGAGAGATTAGCAGACAACCAGCGGACAACATGACAACACATAAAAGACACAAAATTAATAACAAAATTCTTGGCCAAAGCGGTCCTGTCTCAAAAAAATAGTGTAATGGTGTAAACGTGCCACATTTACCTTGGCCTGGCCAAGGCTAGGTCAAGGTCTAATTGTAGTGAAAACACCACTAATTTTACTCTGTCTAAACCGGCCAGTAACCCTAGACAGAATTAATGCCTAGGTGATTTTACTTGTCAAGGGGAGAGAGCTGGCACTCAATGACTTGAAAGACCTTGGAAATCCAGGCATTCCAGGGGAGAGGTGAATAAAAGAACATAATTTAAAGAGTGAGTATCATGCCCGTGATGCATTGCGTGCCTATGTTTATTTACATGCTTGCGGAAGCACTTTATATTTCGTGCGATATCATATGAAATATAGCAGTTGTTCACATTGTTGTGCGAAATAAAGTGATTCTAGTACGATGTCTGAATCAGAATCGGACCCAGATTTAACTTTGGAGCGTTACGATTTAGAGGACGATCTAAATGCGTACGGGTCGCCAGTTTGTATATCGCCAAGGGAAGGACTAACCGGCGTCGAAGCCGCAGCGGTTGAACCCTTGAATGAACCAACTTTGGCCGCCGACGATGATAGAACGCAGGTTAATTTACCTTATTTTCACCAGTTGTTTCAGTAACAAATAACTGTATACTTGCCGACTTGTATTTACGCAACAAATTCCTGTTAATTTCAGCGCTGTAGCTGCAAAAAACACGTGCAGCAAGCGAAGCGGCAGAATGAAGCGAGGTTGCCCTTGCCGGGATGAAGGTGCCAAATGCACAGAAAGATGTTCATGTGGAACTAAAGCGGCTAATTGCAAAAACAAGACACAGGGACAGGGAACAGTTGTCTCCCCAAATGCAGGAAAAACGCATTTGAACGTCACGAGATCGCAGTCAACAAAGCAAAACAACAGATTACAGTGAGCACATGCATTTTTTATCTCAGAGTTATAATATTGTAAGATTTCTCACAAGCATAAAGTGTCCGAATACTTTATATGAATTTTTTACGGCAATCGAACCCGCAACGTTGTGAAGCCACAGTACTAAGATATGCATGTATGATACAGCAATCTATTTTACTTATACCTTTTGTAGCCTCAAAAATGTTGCAGTTGCACGTATTGTACCGGAAGAAACACATTTTCGATCGATAATTTTCCTGTTATAATCGCTGGTTGCCTGGTTATATATTATTACAGATTACCTTTGTTCTCGCATTATGTATGTTCAAATATGATCTGCATGCTGATTACGTTTATACCTTTGAACCTGGGATATAGTTTAATATTTAGGAATAGGAATATAATAGAATATTTCAGTAAGGAATATATCAGGTTATTTGATTATGAAACCTGGTATAGAAGAACTTCTATCCATTTAATTTTAATATGCAAAAGTATGTAACCATGCAAATATAAATTGTTTTTGTATTTCCAGGAATTCATCACAACATTGACTGTTGATCAAAAGGACAAAGTACTACTGGAACATTTGACCAATGGAAATGGTAGTCTAGATTACGCCAAAAATATAGTGGAATTCGGCGGAGTCCCTCCTGAAATCCCAGATATAAGGCCACGCTGGTGCAAATGTGGGGTATGCCGGTCTATCCCTACTGATGAAGAAAACAAGTGTTGTGGTAAAATCAGGTGTCTAACATCATATGTAACATTCAGAAACACCTGTACAGACAGAGAGGTTTTAGTCATGGCCACCAGATCAAGGTGTGACATTAGGGCTGAAGAATCACATTACTCAACAAACAGCTACAGAAGGCTGCATATCGCCAGCACATTCTCTTGCGATACAAAAAGCTGGGAAAGGGTAATAGAAAGGTGTGTCCATCATGTGTAGTCTTGGCAATCAGACTCATATATCCTGCAAATGATGGGGTATACATGGGCTTCAAGAGAGCTTGACCTTTTGTTTTTAATAAATAATAATCACTGAACAATCACTATGTACATATGTTCCATTCAAAAATATATATGATTTCATTTGTTAATTAAACACTACTGAGCGAAATGTCTTCTCCATACTTCTAACATGTTCTCGTGATGTTGACGGACCTTCACCCTGTATAGCATCTTTATTGGTCTGCTCTGTCACATACCCTGATTGTGCCCTCTGGACAAGATTGCTTGTTTTAGGAATTGGTTTGAGGGCAATGGATGGGGCAATATTCTTCGGATGATCTTCTGGGGCAGGAACTGCCCTCAGAATACTTGCAGAATTCTGGTCGCAAGTGTGGGCCAGAAATCGTAGCTCTTAACTGAAAATCAAAAATACATTATGTATTAGAAGCCATATACCCTCTCTGATCAATACTTTGATATACAGGGTGACCCAAAAAATTTAATTGTGTATTCTCTTCAAATTATTTGCTGTTTTGAATAGAGTACACAATTAATTTGTTGTTATTTAGAGAGAGAGGTGGGAACAGAACAGGATCCACAAACTGAACAGGTTCAAGAAACTCACTAAAAGTTATTAGCTTATAATTATGTATAGAAGTATGCTATGTGGAATAAAATTACTAAAATACAACAAATATGAGGGAAAATTATACTTACTCATCTTCATCGTTACTGGAAAATTCTAGGTTTTGTTCTGTTTCTGGGAAACTTTCATCAAAATCGGAACTGTTCTCACTTTAAAACAATACAGAACTGTATGTTAATACTTGAAAATCCAATCAGCTTCATTATTAGTGTGTAGATGTAGATGTACATGTATATCAGTACATGAGGTGAGGGTTTTAAGCAATTCGGTCAAGATTACGTTAACAATCTTTAATTCACCGTCTGAAGCTTGATATAGGAAAACGTATGAATATCATGTCTCTGGGGCTTTATCAATGATGAAAGATGATTTTAAATAGAAAGGTCAATTACCTTGAATCGGAATCTGATTCTGAGCTGGTAGTACCTGTCTCGGAACTGGAAGGGTTGCCAAAATGTTTTCCAAATTCAGAATTACTGGAGAGTGACAAGTTCTCCATTGTACTGATGCCCAAAGTCTCCAAACCTTCGACTTCATGTACAGATCGAAATATGAGAAGTAGACTCTCCATGAATATTTATACTACAAATGACATAAAGGGAACATTGCATGTCAACAATCACTTGACATGCATTCTTTATATTCACAGTAAAAACCCATATTATAACTGAAAAGTTTACTCACACATCAACATTGATATCAGATTGGCTGGAAATTGATGATATTGAATCTTCAAATAACCTAGCTTTCCTTTGTCCTACAGCAGGCGTTGAACTACATAATACATGTGAATGATGCACTAAATTGAAACAGACAAAACGTAAATTGTATACAAGCCGTATATAATTCATAATAACATGACTTTGGGAAAAATATAGGGTATAAATATAAACTGCAGTGATCGTACTAAATATTTTGACTTACCACTACTAGGAGTTTGGATTCTTAGACCTTCGTCGAGATATATGTGCTTGGTTAATCTTATCCGCACGACTGCTTCGTCTTTCTTTGGCCTTCCACGTTTCGAAGGCAATGCACCAGCCATGACTCGGAAGGAAATACACCAGTTTATCGAAAATTACGGCGTATTATTTATCAAAACAAACAAACAATTCCTCTAACATGGTCAACGCTCCAAGGGGAATACAAAAAATTAATAATTTATAACACGATTGTTCAAATATCGCGCAGATTCCACATTAATCCTCAAAATACAACTTGGTGGCCATTTTCGCGGCACCGTAAAATGGCCGACTAAGGCAATAAGCACGCAATGCATCACGGGCATGATACTCACTCTTTAATTAATACTCTCAAATAATCTCATGTTTTGGTTTGAATAGGTTTGCAAGCCATTTTGTAGCAAACCCATATTTACATTCATGTTCACATTTCACATATTGTTTCAAATAATACACTATATAATGTGCTTATTCAAAATTTGAATTGTTGGTTTTAACTAATATTTGGCGGCATTGAAATGAAATAATTTCAATATATAAAATCTCGCGCGCGCAAATTCAAATTTTAGCAGCCACATGTTCCGTCAGGCTAGTACAGCCACAAGATAAAATGAAATAAAAGGGTCGATGGACGTTATAATTATATGATATAAAGTGTAATAATACATACCTGAGATCAATAAGCCTTTAGCAATACTTAGAGTCACTTATCCAATACCATTTATACCTTTTCTTGAGTGGAATATAGCTTTTCTTGAGCGAAATCAGTATCCAAACGAAAAAATCAAAAATTTGCAATTCACACTCGACACTTGATACGCGATATCCCACAACTCATTGCGCGCGTGGCACTTGTCTTCTAAAATAGATACACCAAAAAGCGCTCCCTAGTTTTACTATCCATGGGATTTTAATTAAAGGATTTAAAGTAATATTAAACTTCATTTCAATTTCTTTTCTGATTATAAGAATATTATTCTAGGTTGGAAAATTGTTATTCTTATAATAAGAAAAAAAATTTTCGAATATTCAAATTCATGCCTTGTTCTCAAAACGAGATTTTTTTCTTGAAATACTGAAATAGTTACTTAAGATTAAAAAATAATCTAAAAAATAAGACTATTATTCTAGACTAGAATTTGATGTTTTTCAGTGCACGATTTTATGCAACCCGCGTGCAGGCACAAGGGAACTGATAGTGGGCCTGCAAGCAAGGCCCGGTATTTTGTAAAACGCCCCTTTTCATAACACGCCCCATTCGAGCGTCAATTGTCAAAAAAGAACCAATGACAGCAACCCAAATATTAACAAACAAACTCGCATTAAATTGTTGCGGGGTTTTCTCTGCTTATTCAGAACATAAACAATGTGTAAATGGCAGCGTTTTAACTCCAAAAAAGCAAGCAACGCAGTCAGTAATTGCCAAATTTGCAAGTGCTCATTTTCAACTAAAATCGGAACAGGCAAATTAGGACGAATTTCAACAGAAAACCAGTCTCAAACTTCAAATCGTGAGGGAAGTCGTGGGACCACATTAGCATTTATATTATGTGTGCTTCGCTGTCGCCATTGGCATTGTTATAAATAAATTGCATTTGTCTCACTTATCAGATCGTGTGTGCAATTCTTGTTGGCGGCGGAGAGTACGAAATTTATTTCAGTTATTTCATTTGGTAAAGAACTCTACAAAAGAAGAGAGCGTTCAGAGCGTCCAGATCGTTTCGTTTCAAACGGCAATTTAATACCGTCTTCTGTTTCGCTCTCTCAGCGAAACCTTGTAAATCGCAAAGTGTTTCGAATAGGCTTACATGCAACTGCATCTCAACATCAACCAAAAGATAATTTTCTTGAGGAACATATAACGTTTGATACGTCTGTTTGAAATTAATGAAACTCAAGTAAAGGTTACTATAGTTTACCCCAGTCGTAATGTTGCTATTCCAACACCTCACGACAAGCAATCCCCATTGGCATAAAGGAAAAACATCTCTTCCTTCAAGTAAACAATAAACAGTCTGTTCTTGTTGCATTTATAATCGAAAAAAGTGATCAATTTTCGAATTTTGAGCTTATCGAGAGCCTTTGTGATGAATCACTGACCTAATTATAGAATCCAACAGCAAACAGCCAATCAGAATGCCGCGTTCGTGGGCGAACGCGGAAAGTACAAAATACCGGGCCTTGCTTGCAGGCCCACTATCAGTTCCATTGGGCCTGCACGCGGGCTAGATTTTATGTGAAATTTCACTTTTTACCGTCCATGTGAAATCCTTTAAATCACATATGAAATTTCGCATGTAACTTTATGTGAATTCCTTTCACATATGAAATTTCACTTTTTACTTCATGTGAAATCTTTCACATGTGAAATTTCACTTTTTTACTTTATATAAAATCATTTGTCATGTGAAATTTCACTTGTAATTTCATGTGAAATCTATTCACATGTGAAATTTCACTTGTAATCAGTGGCGGGGAGGGGGGGGGCAGGGGATACCCCAATTATATTTTGCCCACCTTCACATTTTGCCCCCCCCCCAAAAAAAAATGTATGTTTTATAAGTTCTCATTACTCATTACTCATTAGTGAATGCGCGTATAATACTGTTTTTACAGATTCAATATTATTTTGTAAGTCTCTGAATGGTAAAACTTGCCAATACTCCAATAATACGTTTCAAAAAAGGCAAAAAAGCTTTAGTTTTGCTGAGTTAAATTCTCAAACATGTAAGGCACTACTAAGATGAACGTATCACGAAATTTGAATAAACCACATCGCATATATGGGGGCGAATATCCTAAAGGGGGTCGATATTCCTATGGTTGGGGAGGGGGGCGAATCTCCTTGAGGGGGGGAAGTCCTATGAGAACGGCATGGGCAAATAGCATTACCTATTTAACAATTCTATCTCGTCCCCTCCCCCCCCCAAAAAAAATGAGTTTGCCCCTCAAATCACCCCAACCCCAATTCCAGAGGCCTGGCGCCGCCACTGCTTCTAATTTCATGTGAAATCCTTTCACATGTGAAATTTCATTGTAATTTTCAATTTCATGTGAATCCTTTCACATGTGAAATTTCATTGTAATTTTTAATTTCATGTGAAACCTTTCGCATGTGAAATTTCATTGTAATTTGTAATTTCATGTGAAATCCTTTCACGTAAATGCGAAATTTCCCTTTGTAATTTGTAATGTTATGTGAAATCCTTATCTTTTCACATGTGAAATTTCACTTGTAATTTCATGTGAAATATTTTCACATATGTGAAATTTCACTTGTACATGTAATTTGTAATTTCATGAGAAATCCTTTCACATGTGAAATTTCAGACGAAATTTCATGTGAAATCCTTTCACGTACATGTGAAATTTCACTTTGTAATTTGTAATTCATGTGAAATTGTCATCTTTTCACATGTGAAATTTCAGTCGTAATTTCATGTGAAATCCTGTCACGTACATGTGAAATTTCACTTTGTAATTTGTAATTCATGTGAAATCCTTATCTTTTCACATGTGAAATTTCACTTGTAATTTCATGTGAAATCCTTTCACGTAAATATGAAATTTCACTTTGTCAGTTTGTAACGTTTATGTGAAATTCTTTCACATGTGAAATTTCACTTGTGATTTCATGTGAAATCTTTTCACATGTGAAATGTCACATGTGATTTCATGTGAAACTCTTTCACATGTGAAAAGTCACATGTGATTTCATGTGAAATTAGTTATTAGGACGTCCAAAAATGCGAGTTTGTTTTTGGACGTCCTAATAACAAAAACCGACAACGACACTTTAACCACACAAGTTTATCGCAAGAAAACACACACTGATCAAATTTTAAATTACAATAGCAATCACCCAACACAACACAAAGTCAGTTACATAAAGACTCTATTCAACAGAATTGACACACATTGTAACACTGATCAATCCAAACAAGACGAACGCAAGTATTTATACTCTACTTTTTACAAAAATGACTACCTTTTAGACCCTCATTAATAAGGTGCTACAACATAAACAACAAACTAACACGGACCGACTTAACCAAACAAAAACGAGGATTGCACTTCCTTACATACACACTACATCAGAAATGGCAGCTAGACTCCTCCGACCTTTCAACATTGACGTTGCACACAAACCAACATGCAAACTTAGGTCCAACTTCACTAAACACAGAGACAAGACACATATAACGCATAAAAATAACGCTATTTATATCTTCCCGTGCAAAAACTGTCCGGATAAGTACATTGGACAAATGTCTAAAAAGATTCAGACAAGACTAACAGAACACCAGAACGCAATCAACAGACACGCCCATAGCTCACTTCCAGCTAAACACACAGACGACAACGGACACAAATTCGAATGGTCTCAAACGAGATGCCTAGGACAAGCAACTACTAAACATACCCGTGAGTTTAAAGAAGCGTGGCATAGTTTAGACAAACAAACATTTAACCGTCATATTGACATCCCTACAATTTACTTACAACTGAAACGCTCTCACAAATCTCCTAATTCATCTTCATTAACATTTAACCCACCCTCAACTTCCTTCCCTACACGTCTCATGATAACAATAATCACCCGCATTCGATAGTAACTAACGGCAACCAACATACTGAAACCCATCAACCAATCAGACGTTCCCACAGACTTCAACAACGTCAACAACAGCGCGAAAATTTAAATGATCAATCTTTCTGATGAAGGCTCGAAGTACCGAGTCGAAAGCTCAAAACAAATAATTACAATCCGGAGAACACTGTATAATTTTGTAAAAATTATAATTTTATATATATATATATATAAAATTATAATTTTTACAAAATTATACAGTGTTCTCCGGATTGTATTGGTGTAAATAGGTAATGGGACAAGTACTGGTGTGAGGCATTGTGTACCTAAATAATTATAGGACCAATATTCAAATTTATTGTTAATTACTTCAACTTCAATAGTATGAACTGCATATACGTGATGAATTATGGCAATAACGATTATGAAACTAAGGAGGGGTGAATTGGTTAATTGGAAACGATAAGTCGGGAGATAAAGGAGAGAAAAGGA